GGCCTGCGCACCGGCAGAGCCAGCCCCGGCGCACACCGGGGGCCGCGGACGGAGGCGTCCGCCCCGGGGGTCCCCGCCCCGGGCACCCCTCTCAGGCTGGGCCCCGGAATCGAGGGGAGCGGCGCCGCGTGCCCCACCCACCGAGGAGCTGCGGAGACGCCGCTGTGCCTCGCTTTTGCGGCGGCCGGCTGGGTGGCCGACCGGGGTCCCGGGTCGCTTGTGTTTGCGGGGCGCGGAGAGCCCGGCCCGGCGCAGGGCTAGTGCTCAGTACCAGCTGCTTTTTAATAATTAATTCTTCCTACTCGCGTCCCGGGAGGAGGGCTGTCTGGGACGCGCATCCCGCCAGCCTGCCGGAGGACGCTCCCCGGTGGGAGGGGGAGGAGGGGGGGCGGGTCCTGGCATACCGAGCGCCAGGCTTGCTCATGAATGAAAGCCTGCTGCAGCCCGCGAGGGGCCTATTGTAGCCGGCTCAGGCTGATTAAACTTTCTCCACCTTTTTTCGCCAGTCCCCAATTCGCTGCCTGGTCAGGCCCAGCCAGCTTTAATGGGAAATTTGTCTGGAGGCTTGGGTAGGGGGCTCAGGCTGATTGAGGTTTCAGGGCACACAGACCCTTCTCTTGCCCTCCCGCCTCCTCCCGCCCTCCCCTCCCCCTTTTCTCGAAATAGCAGCCTCCTCCATCTGGCTCGTGCAGATGCCTGGAGCTGCGTGTGAGCAGACAAACAGAAATGGGCTGATCGCAGGAATGAGTTTGTCAGCCCCGTGCCTCTCCCTGTCTGTGCCCCCCCCTTCCTGCTGGGAGAGTCTGAGCCTTGGGGACTCACTGAGGCGGCCTGGGCTGGGGGTGTGGTCCGCGGTGGCCCCCAGCCACTGAGGGGTTAGGGAAAACGCCCTCTGAATCTGTCTGGGCTCCCTGTTTCAGCCGCCTAGATCGTGGTGCTGGCCTGGGCACCCTGCCTTGGCTGCTGCTCCGGCAGAACCAGGGTGAAGGAGTGACCTCCAGGGATGCTGGGGCCTTGTGGTCCCGAGAGAGCTGTTTGAGGGACCAAGAGGGCTCCTGGTGAATACAGGCCTTTGGGGAGCCAGTTTTTACTGCACGTGAATGGGGTGGGGGTGTCTCTGCAGGCCCTCACTCCAGCCTTGTCTGCTTGGCAGTGTGCACTGCAGGTTGAGGTGCAGCGAGGTTCCCACAGCACTGCTGTCTGAGTGGGAGGTGGAAGTTGGGCTTAGGTTCCAGGGGAATGAGAAAGGACTGGCCACCGGAGTGGAGAGACAGCCTGGGCCAGGCTCTGGGCTTTTCTGCTTACGATCTGGAGGGCACTGGGTTGCTCAGTGACTGAGTCTTTCAGTGGCCGAAGCTCCAGGAGCCACATGTTTCTCTCTACACTGCCCCCCAGACCTGGGTCATGATAATGAGCTCTCTGTGGAGGCAGGCGTGGGCCTCCCAGATCTGAACCAGGGACATTTTCTGTCCCCTTCTGTCCTGCTCAGATCGGAATCTGCACCCTTCCTGATCCTTCCCTGTCAGCATAGGCTGTGAGCAGCTTTGTTCCCAGGGAGCCCTGGATTGGTGGCTCTGCTCTGTGACTGATGCTCCCTGCCTGGTCTCCACTTGGCAGTGGGGAGGAGAGGAGTGGGCCCAGGCCCTCCAGTGGCTGAGGACCCGTGGGCTCCAGGCTGAACCTGAGTTTCTGCCTCCCTCAGCGATGGGCCGGGTTCCTTCTCAGGACCAGCGTGGGAATTTCTGAATCTGGGCTCCCTGGCCCACGGGAAAGGGTGTGATCAGGACCCGGCGCCAGGTCTCTGCTGCCAGGCTGAGCTCCTGCCTACGCACTGCCTGGGTTCCTGGCCCCACCTGCCGCATTCCTGAGGGAGGCCCCAGCCCTGACAGCATCCTCTGTCTTTGGCCTTCACCTTGCCCTGACCCCAGTCCCTCTCCCTCTGCACACCTGTGTGCAGGCCTTTGGGGTGCAGGGCATAGGGACAGAGACCCCAGGTCTTCCATGGGGGGTGGCCTCACTCCTGGGCTCCATACAGGCCCCACCCTGGAATGCAGTGCTGAGGATCCATCCTACTGGGAATTAGGGGTACGTGGGGGGCTGAACTGCTGCCTCTGGGATCTCCTCACCCCATCTCCTGGTGCTTAGGGCAGGCCTCAAGCCGAGGCCAGAGTGAGATCACCCAGCATCCACACTAGGGTTCCCGACCAAGCCCAAGGGGTGGCCCGCCCAGGTGGTTGCAGCCAGTGTCTGAGGCTGAGGTGCGGCCAGGGCAGGGTCAGGTGGCTGAGCTTGTCACCCTCTGGGACTGCAGGGCCTTGGGTGGCTTGCACACACTGCAGAAGGTGCCCTTGTTCTGGCACCAAGCTGAGCTTAGGGTTTCATTCCTTACACAGCATGTACCCTGTGCGCACACGGAGGCCTTGGGCTTGGTCGGGATCCCTAGTGTGGATGCTGGATTTAGGGTGGGGTCTCTGGCTCTTGGACCCTGGGGATGGATGTCCAGGCCCTGGCTTATCATGAATGGGATAGGATGGAAACATGTCTGTCCTCCCAGGGCTGGGTGGGGCCAGGTGCCAGGAAGATGACCCAGGACCCAGCCTAACTCCGGGGGTGAGCACCAGCCCCTGGGCCCGGGGGCTCTTGGTCCGCCTTGCATGTTTCAAGGCTGTGTTCCGTGCAGCACCTTAGGCACCTTTGGGGCCTCCCCACCTGGTCACAGTTCTGAGGCTTTGGCCATTCCTGCCCATTTGGCACCAAGGTCTTTGCTAAATAGTAATAGAGGAGAGCAGGGTCTGGCCCACTCTGAGCCCCTTGGTGCCCCCTCATTCCCAGCTATCCCATATCCTGCTCTAATCCTCCTATCTCTCTCTAGGGATGCTGCCCTGAGTGCCTGATCGCCCGGCCTGGAGGATGGCCTTGGATGGGCAGTAGAGGCGCGGTGGCCCTGGGCTCCTGTCCCGTCCGTCTGTCCGTCTGTCTTTTGTCGTCTGTTTCTGTTGACATCACCGCAGCTCCACCTCCTCCTGTCCCAGCCCCGGCGTGCGCCGGCTTCCTGTGGGCCCAGAGCCGGCATGAACTCTCCCACCGAGCCGGGTAAGGGCTGCTCTGGGTGGGCTGGGCTGTGTGGCTTCTCCTTGGCTGTGTCTGAGTTCTTGGATGAATGAGGGGTCAGGAGTAGAGCAGCGTTGTGAGGAAAGATGCCCGCTTCAGGCTAAATGGGGCGTGAACTGCCCTGGGAGGCTGAGACCGCTGCTGCTTGCTCTGGCCTTCTGCTCTGCTACCCCGAGGATGCCCGGGCCTCGGTAGTGAACACCTGTGCTTCGGTGTGTGCTATGGGGGAGTGGCACGCTGAGTTTGAGGGGCTTTTGGCTCTGCCCAGCCCAGGTAGCCTTGCCCCCTCCTCTCAAGCTCTGGGTGGGATAGGGTCCTGATTTGGGGTTTTGGAGATTTCCTGTCCCCCAGTCCAGGACACTGTTGGCACTGCTGCAGGACTCCCCAGGGGTAGATAGTGCTGAATGTGGGGCAACTGTGGCCCTGTCCGGGGGGCTGTGTCCTGACTAGGGGTTCCCAGGAGGGCTGTGGGTCAGTGAGGTGTGGTAGGCATTGCTCTGGCTGTCTCTGGTGCAGCCCAGAGAGCTGGTGGTTGGACTCACCAGCTTTAGCCCTACATGGCCACCACAGCCTGTGCTTCTGTAAGCTGTGTAGTAGGTCCTTTTGGGAAGCTGGGGCCAGGGAGGGAAGGCCACTGCCATACTCCCTGTTGTCCGGGCCGGTGGGTGGGCTTCCACGCCCTGACTACTGCTTCCTCCTAGCTGGCTTGGCAGGAGAGGCCAGGGGTGTCCTCCCTCAGTCCCTGGCCTGGCTCTGCTGGTGCTGCCCTTATGGATCAGGTTGACTGGTGGTCATGCCAGCCACTTCTTCTCTGGGCTGAGACGGTGACCCCTGGGTGAGACCTCAGCCTGGCCAGGGCATGGAGGAAACCTGGACCCTACTGCTGGTGGCTAAGAGGCATTTTGTTTGTTTATGGTTGATTTATTTGAGTGGAGGTCTCTGCATGTGCTTTGAGCTCAAGAGCCTGGTGTGTGCTGACTGACCTGAGGCCAGGCTCAGGCTGGGATGTGTGACAGAGCCCCTGGAACACTGAAGCTTCTGTTTGGCTCCTCATGACCCAAGGGTAAGGACCTGGCCCTGGGCCGCAGAGCAGGCCTGGTCAGGCTTGGCTGTTGCCATGATTCCACATACGCCAGGTACAAGAGGATGTGAAGACAGGAGTAGGGTGCCCCCATGGTGGTGTCAGAGGAAATCTTGGCTGGGGCTCGGGGCACATGGTGGTGGGGACCTCATCGGAGCTTACATTGACCCTGTCCCCACTTTGACAGCGCTGGGAGTCTGCAGGGGCCACCTGCACTCTGGCAGCTGTTTGTTAGCTCTGGGGCACAGGGACTGGGCAGGGCTGGACGGGATCGGCCATGGGCAGGCCCAGGGGCCCTGGTCACCCCATACCCATGCCATTACCTGGAGGGAAGACAAGTGTACAGCCTGCCCTGCCAGCCAGTGTGGGCGGTGGCGGGCCCTGCAGGAGGCAGCCAGGCCCTGCCCCAGCGTGGGTGGGAGGTGCGCGTGGTGGCACCTGTCTGCCCAGCACCACCTAACACTCTCGCCTTTCTCTCCTTCCCTTTCCCTGAGGGAGGCAGCACCCCCTCCTTCCTGGGTGCCTGGAGAAACTGGGGCATGAGTGCAGGGTGGGGCAAGAACCTCAGCATCCCTGTGCCAGCCCCAGCTCCCCCTTGGTGTCCCATGAGGGCTGGTGCCACTTGGGGAGGGCAACTGGTCGGGTACTGGTGGGGGCCTCTGGCCTCCATGCCTCTGTGGTGCCTGTGGCCAGGGTTCCGCCTTGCTTCCCTGGAGGGCCTGAGAGTGATGGGCCAATCTGACTGCTTACCAGTCTCGGGAGCCCCACAGCCTCTGCTGCCTGCCTTGACGTCCGTCTTGCTGTGTGTGGGCACCTGGGCCTGGGTTTGCGCACCGCCTGGGAGCCTGGTACTTTGCACTCTGCAGTGGGCGGGACAGGGCCGTTGCTCTCTTGGGGCCTGCCTTGGCTGCTCAGTGGCTGCACTTGCAAGGTTCCCAGCCCCCACCTGGTTCCTGCCATACTGTTCCCCCATCTAGGCCCGGGGGGTGGCCTGCCTCTGCTTCCTGCCCTGTCCCTGGGGTCCCCTCAAGGAGGAGCCTTTCTCTAGCCCTGGCTGGTGGAAGCTGGGCTCCACCCGTGTCCTCACTTGGCCAGCATCTTCAGGCCCCCAGCAGGAGGGTGAGGTCACTAGTGCAGAGAGAGGACAGGTGTCCCTGGCTCTGTGCCCGGAGTAGGGGGCAAGGAGAGGCCCAGAGGGCCCTAAAATAGCAGCCGTGACAGGATGGGGACGCAGACCAGGAATAACTGGGCTATTAAAAGGCTCCAGAGAGGTCAGGGGTCAGTATGGTGTGGGGTGCCTGGGGCTGTCCTGCTGGGCCCTGGGACCCCAGAGCTTTCAGTAGAGGCCTCAGGTGTCCCCGTTTGGCCTCCTCAAGGGAGGTAGTGAACTGGGCAGTTAGAATTCAGGTGAAGCCGCAGGTCAGTCCCCAGTCTGCTGTGCAGTCAGCCATGTGACCTTGAGTGAGTGACTGTGATCACCTGGTGCCTCAGTTTCCTTACCTGTACCTCTCTCCTGAGGTCATCATACAGGGAAAATTGGATACTGTGTGCAACGAGCAGCCAGCCTCACAGGGAGGGACGCCCCACAGGGCCATTCAGAGGACTCTTAGGCTGCCTGGCCCCGGTCCTGCTAACTCCTCAGGAGGCTGAAACAGAAAATCTCAGATTGTGCCCGGCCTGCACAATTTGGCGAGGTCGTCTCAAAAGTTATTTTACTTGATTTTATTTTAGACACAGGATCTTCCTTTGTGGCCCAGATTGGCCTCAAACCCAGCGATCCTCTTGCCTCAGCCTTCTGAGTACTGGGGTCACAGGCTCAGGCACCGCCATGCTGGGCTCGAGGCAGAAGTGCTAGACGGGTGTATCTCTGCACGCCAGGCCTTGGCCAGCAGGCTGGCGGGCTGCGGAAAGGCGGAGCAGAGTTCCAGGAAGTTTAGGCCAGGTGGTGTGGTATCTGTCCCCAACCCAGCCTCGCCAGGCTGCTTGGCCTTGGCTCTTTGGCCCGTCCCATCCTGGTCTGTCCTGTCCCCTCCCCTTGCTGGCGCTCCCTGCTCCCTCCTGAGTGGAGCGCCGCCCCTCGGGGCCTCCGCCAGCCGGGCTCCTGGCAGCCCGCGCTCAGAGCGCTCCACCTATTTATAGCTAGGGCCCTCCCCCAGCTGCTATTTCAGTCTCCTGCCAGCTGCCGGCAGCTCACTCGGCGGAGCTGTCAGTGGGGTTGGGAGGGGACGCAGATCCGCCTGCCTCACTCCCTCCTGCCCCTCAGGCCAGTGGGCCAGTGGTCTCCCGGGTGCCTGCGACTGAGATCCCCAGCTCTGCAGCCGGGCCGGGCCGGGCTGTCCCTGAGCGCCGGGGCGGGTGGGGCATCCCCCCAGTGCGGGTCCCGCAGTGACCAGAGGGAGTCCCAGAGCCACCTCCTCTGCTGCCACGGCGCCCTTCCTGGGCATGCTGTTGGTACCCAAGGTGCAGGGGCTCCTGGAGGTACTGCAGACCATCTACGAGACGGAGCCCTCTCTCTCAGCAGATGGCGTGCCTGGCCGAGAGCCATCCCTGGAGGTCCTGCCGCGGACACCGCCGCACGGTATCCCTGTGGCAGGTGAGTGCGCACCGTGCCCACCCACCTGCTTTCTGGCAGGGCCAGTGTCCACTCAGCATCTCCCGCAGGTGGGGCCATCCTGGTTGCTGATGGGGAGGTTGGGCTGTCCCTGCTTTTGCAGGTTGGCTGCACGGAGCCCTGTCCTCTGCCCAGGCTGCCTGGCACCCTCTGTCCTATAGCCTTGGGGAGTTGCCCCACTGTGGGGCTGGGGCTCCCCGGGTAAGTGACCTGTGGTGTCCAGGCGGCCTGTGCCAGGCTGGGGTAGGAGGGAGCTGTAGCCGGGGTGAAGCCCTGTGTACATTGCACCCCAGCTGCTGTGGCTTGGTGTTTGGGGGCAGGTCAGGTGCATTGACTGGGGGGGCGTGATGTGGCTGGCTGGGGTCAGGCCTAAGGGTGGAGAGCTGTCAGCCCAGCCCAGGTGGGCTGTGTCCCTTACCCTGCACCTCCCTGGTGGGACTTTCTTGGTCTTGCATGGGGGTGGGGTCCCCCAAGGGCCACTCCTCCCCACTCCCTAGAACCTGTTAGTGGCACCAAGCCCTCCTGGCATGGCTGCCCCACCGGGCCAGCACCACAGGATGTTTCCTGCAGGGAGGGGCTGCTGGATGCGTGCCCATGGGCCCTCCCGGTCAGGGCTTGGCACATGTGTGAGTGTGCTCACGAGTGTGTGCTCTGTGGGAAGTCCAGGCCTATGATTGTGTGGGTGTGGAGCCCAGGCTCTGAATGGGGTGGGAGGTGGGGCTACGAGCCCCTGCGCCTCCCTGAAGCTTGGCTCTGAGCCGAGAGGATGAGGTTTGGGGAAGGTTCCAGAAATCCTGGCCCAAAGGCAGCGTGGCATGCAGGGTCCCTGGAGCACCACATTGGTGCTGAGACCCTGCTGAGGCATCTTCTGGCAAGGAGGTCTGAGCAGGCTGTTTCTCCTGCTCCTTGAGCCTGCCCCTCAGCCCCAGCTGTGCTGCTGCTCCAGCCAAGTCTGACTCCGCAGACCCCCGAGAGCAGAGCAACCCTTGTCCTGCACCATCCTGTCCCAGGCCTGGCCCTTGGCTGGAACACTGTCTCAGCTGGGCCTGTGGACTGGGCCTGTCCCCTCGCTTGACCCTGGTGCCCTGTGTTCCCACCCCAGAGCCGGCCCAGGGCTTCTGGTGAGAGGGAGGCATGGGTTGCCCTGGTGGTGCTGGGAGAGGGCCAGGAATGTCCCCCAAGCCACCGCGGTGTATCTGTGACGTGCAGATGGGGCCAGATATAAGCCTGGGGCTTGGCTGCCTCATTTCCTTTTTTTTTCTGGACTCTGGAATGTAAATAGATGTTTCAAATAGAAACATTATAACCTTTGGTTTAAAGAAACATCCACCCCAGATAAACCAGGCGCTGAGGTTAGGTAGCACCTTGGTGTCTCCCTGCCCTCAATGGGCAGGGTGTGGGTCCCTGATGCTTTCTGGTGGCAGGTAGCAGTGGCAGGTGGCATGTGTCCTGGGTACCCAGCCGGAAGGGTTAGAGAGGGCCCTTCGGGTAGGGCCTCCCCCCTCCCCCCAGCAGCTTGGGTGCTGTTTGAAGGGCAGCCTTTGCTGTCTGGACTGTGATTTTTGCTGTTGCTGTTTCTTTCTTTCTTTCTTCTTTTTTTTTTTTTTTTTTTTTTTTTTTTTTTTTTTTCTGGTGCAGTTTAAATAGGACATTTGCTTTCCACGTTCTTGTGGAACCAGGGATTGAACTCAGGCCCTTGCACTTGCCAGGGAAGCACTTATTCCACTGAGCCAGCTCCCCGGCCCTTTTTTTATTTTTTGAGACAGGGCCCCACTGTGTAGTTCAGGATGGCCGTGAGCGCCGATGTTGTGCTGCCTCCCGAGTGCTGGGACAGCAGGCACGGGCGGCAGCTTGGGCTGTGCTGCTGGGTGTCCGTGCCCAGCACTGTGCCTGGCACCTAGATGATGAACGCCACGGTGGGTGGGGCCTGGACGCCGCCCAGTGGCCAGCTGTGCTCTAGCTGTGTTCTGGGGCCTGGCCTTCCAGCAGCCGCCCCTCAGCAGGCCATGCACAGGGAGAGGAGGTGTGCCGCTGCCCCCACCTTGGAGGAGCTGGGTCCAGCTGCCACGGCAGCAGGGTCTGGAGGGACTGGGTCTCACAGCTGCCCCCACCAGGAGCCCGGGCTGCGACTCGCTGTGGGTTTCCCAGGAGTTGCTGGCCTCCTACCTGGACACTGGGCTCCCTTCTGTGGGCCTGGGTCTGGCTGATGGCCTGGGCAGCGTGCAGAGTGTGAGGGGACTGAGGCAGGAGGATCACAAGTTAAAGCCGAAACTGGGTAACAGCAGCACAGTGAGATCTTGTTTCAAAACATAAAAAGCAGGGCTGGCAAGACAGCTCAGCGGACTAAGTGCCTACTTAGGCAAACACAGGGACCAGGTTCAATTCCAGCACCACATGCTGCGCTGGCTCTGCCCCTAGGCACCCCGAGCCGGCCAGAGTGTGGGTGTGGTGGCGCATGTCTGTAACCCCAGCGCCAGGGAGGCTGAAAACAGGAAGATCAGAGTCCCAGCTCTGTAGTGAGACCCTGTACCAAAAACATTAAAAAAAAAAAAAGGCCGGGTTGTTGCTCAGCGTAGAGACCCTGCATCTGGTCCCCAGTACCAGAGGACACCAGAGGACCTTTGTCCCCATGCAGGGAGGGTGCTGTGGAGGTGAACATGGGCCCGTGCTGTCCTCAGCATCCCCTCTGTGACACTGCTGTGGCTGCATGGTGTGTAGGCTGGGGTGGGAAGGTGGAGTGGCTAGCCCAGGCAGGAGCTGCTCTTCTAGCATGCGGGCAATCACTGTTGGGCGCCCCTGCCTCATCCAGTTTAGAAAGGACCAGAGAGGCCAGGGTGTGCGGTGTCCCAGTGGGAGGTGGGACTTGAACCCAGCCTTGGGTGGGGCTTGTTAGTCCACAGGGAAGCTCCCCTCAACGTGAGAAGCGGCCCTTCTGAGTGGATGTGCCCTGTCCTGCCTTGCAGCTCAGCAAGGGGTGTGGCTTAGCTTTTGGCCCCAGCGCACTGTGGCTGGCTCAGATGCATGCACCGTGTGTGGCCAGTGCAGCCTTCTGTGGCAGGCCCGCTTCCACGCCACACTGTGCCGTCCTGGAGAGAGGGAGCGCTCTGGCCTGGGGAGCCTCCGAGGCTTCTGAGGCCAGGCCCTGCGCCCCGCAGGTGTGAGGTCGTTGGGTGGGCAGCGCCTCTCCTGGGGTAAGCTTGGGCGCCAGCGAGCAGGGCTGAGCACGCTGCCCTCTTAGCACAGCTCCTCCAGCCCCGGCTTCCCCCACTTGACCTCTGCTCTTGGCCTCAGTTGTCCTGTCCCTGCTGCACAGCTGCCGGACAGGAAATCTGAAGGCACCACTGCGACAGCTGTGGACGGGCAGCAGCGGGGGGCTGTCCTTCCCTGTTGTGGTAGGCCCTGAGGGGCATGTCCAGATGTGCATCCCCCGGCTGGTGTTGGCAATCTGATCGTGGGCAGTGCTCTTGTTCTTGGGTGGATTCCGTGTGGAGAAAGGGAGGGTCCATTCTTACACCCTGTGAAGCTGGGAAGCTGGGCACCCAGAGGTCCTGGTGAGAGGGGCCTTGCTGAGAGAGATAGGAATCCAGTCAGTAGTGTGGCCACCGGGCTGGGTGTATGTGGTGACACTGCCCAGCTGGGGGCTAGCCAGACTCATGGCGCTGGCTGTGCATGGCGAGGAGACTGCTCTGTGGCCCCAGCCCGGAGCACCTGACTGCACCTTCATGTGGCCACCAGCTTTGCTCCCGAGTATTTCCCAGAAATGCTGGGAAGACAGCTGCTCTGCCCGACAGCTGCTGAGCCCACCTTTGCCTTGCTTCTGCCGGGTGTCATGGCCCTACTGTGAGGGCTCGCTTGGCTGTTTGGTGGAAGTGGGGGTGGCTTGCAGCCTAGGCTGGCCTTGAGCTTGCAGTGCCCTGCCCTGCTGCCACCTCTTGAATGCTGAGGTTGCGGGGAGGTCTACCACACCCAGCTTGGAGTTCCAGAGTCTTCACAGTCATGGTCCCTCTCCAGACCCTGAGACTTCTCCGCATCTAGCCCCTTGTCCTCTGTGCTCTGAGAGCCAATCAAGAGTCTTGTCCAGATTCTGGGATCCCTGACACCAAGAGTCTCACGCAGCTCTCGTGAAATCCAGGAGTGGCGCTTGCGTTTCCTTTCTTTTGTTTTGTTTTGTTTTTGGCAGAACCGGGGATTGGACTCAGGCTATTGCGCTTGTCAGGCAAGTGCTTATTCTAGTGATCTGTATCCCCAGCCCCTTCTTTGTTTTGTGTCTGAGACAGGGTTGCCTGGTATACCCCAGATGGACTGGGCTTGAATTTGCAGTGATCCTCCTGCCTCAGCCTCCCGAGGTCTGGAATCAGAGGAGTATGCCTCCATGTCTGACTGTGTCAGCCCCCGCCTTGCAGGTGCCCTGGCGGCGTCTCCTCCTCTGGCCCAGAGAGTTGCATCTCCAGGATCTAAGTGCCCCATAGACAAGGTGTTGTGTTGTATGGCTCCGGTTACAGGAGGGGCACGGGTTCTCCAGGTGTCACCCAGGAGGATGTGGCACAGGGAGCCCTCACCTGTGATGGGCATGGTGAGGGTAGAGACTAGGAAGAATTTCCTGGGTTTGCAGCCATGTATGCCAGCCATATTTTGCTGCGGCCTCCACTGCAGAGGACAGAGTGGCCTTTCTTGGGGACAGCGGGCAGGCAAGGTGCTCAGAGGTGCTGGTGTTCAGTGGGGTCCCTGGCAGGGGCTTCAGGGGACATGGTCACAGTGTGGTTTAGGTCCAGGCAAGGAGCTGGACCAAGCTAGCGTGTGAGCCTGGCATCCTTAACTTGGGTCTGTGCCTTGGCCCTGTGAGTTGTACATGTTTCATTTTATGCTCTTTACAAACTACTTTGTGAGGGTCTGGAGGTGCCGCTGGGCCTCCTAGGCAAGCGCTGCACCTCACGCTGCCCCCCAGTCCCCTGACACTGCCCAGCCAGGGTGCCAGGGTGTCCTGGGTTGCAGCAAGGCTGACTGCCCTGTGAGTACCTCCCAAGACTGGCTAGCCTGGCTCAGGTCACGGCCGCATCCTGCCAGCCTGCAGCCCCAAGAGGTGGGTGCTGTGCTCTGGCTCCACCAGTGCCAGCCCGGAGCTTGGGGGCACCTGGTCTGTAGCCCGCAGGCAGTGCTGCCCATGCCCTGGCTGCACCCCAGCTCTGGCCCTCAGCAGTATATGGTGACGCGATGTTGCGCAAGTCGCTGGCTGAGAGTCACCAGCCAGCACATGTGGAAACGCCGTCAGAATTGTGGTAGAACCTGTTGGGCCAACAGCAGCCTCCCTGGTCATGTAAGAGCCCAGAAATAGATCCTGGGAATGGCTGCGGTGGGATGGGATCTGGCTTCACAGCCCACTGCAGCCGCCTCCTTTACAGCGGCCTCAGGCCAGGACAGGATGGGAGCCTTTTGCTTTCTGGGGAGCAGAACAGGGTGCCAAGGCACTGAGGGCTGCTTGCTGTTAGCCTGGCCCAGGGCTCTGGGGGGTCTCGTGGACAGCAGCAGGGGCCCAGGCTGATGGGGTGGGACGCTGGCCCAGGGCTCTGGGGGGTCCTGTAGACAGCAGTAGTGGGCCCAGGCTGGTGTGGTGGGACGCTGGCCCAGGGCTCTGGGGGG